GCTGAACCTGCTGGTGGAAGTCGTGCAAGAGGATCTAGTCGCCCTTTCTCATAAAAGCCCTCGCCTCTGCTCTGCGAGCTCAACCACCCCTGTCTCTGTGGTCTGTGTTCCCCGGACTGAATGCAGCTCACCTTGCCTCCCTAGAAGTCAATGCCCACTCTAAGCTGACCTGCCAACCATGAGGTCCCTCTGCCTGTCACCTTCCTGTTAGCCCAGACATCTAGACTCCTAGGTAAACCCTCCCAGTGGGCAGGCATCTGCTCCTGAGGCCTTGGAAGCTGAAGCTAGTTGGTACCTCGGGGGCAGCTTGGCTCTGTGGGGAAAACCTGGCACTTCTTTGGTTTGCGGCAAATGATGCAAAATCCAAGATTTACAGCGGAAATCTTCGCATAAAATCAACAAGATGACAGTGTGTTCATGAGCCTCCTGGTGTCCCAGACTCTGCTGGGAAGCTCCAGGCATTTGCAGAATTCCACTGACTTGGCTCAAACGAGCACTGTTTAGGAGAGGGCAGAATTCCATGGACTGATTTCTTTGGGAACAATTTCCCAGGTGCCCTTGCAAATGGAGAGGGACAAAACCAGGACGGAGCCTCCAAGCCCTTTCTTGCTTGCTTTGGGATGGATTGTGGCACCTCTCCTGGTGCAGGAGTGTGTGTGTTGGGGGTGGGGTGGGGTGGTGTCTGCATTCGGCCTTGGGCCTGTGCTGCAGATCAAAGGCCTGCACATCGAGGCGACCGGCCAGGCCTGGTGGGCTGTCTCAGGAGGAGTAGGGACTTGAGCCAGGGGGCAGAACTCTCCTGCTGGGTGACCCAGGGAGAGCAGCACAGAGTGGAGGGCGGGGCACTGTAGTCTGCTGTTTCCTAGATGCAGTTGCCCTTTTGGGGGGTCAGGGCGCAGAAGGAAGAGAACCCTGCAGGACTCCTCAGGGTCCCAATCCGAGGGGAGGCCATGCCTGGGAGCCCATCCATAAGACTGCCCTTCCTCCTCGAGGAGGAGCCGGCCCAGTGTCCTTGACTCCCAAAGCCAACCCCAGCTGGTGTTTTTCCGCCTGTTCGCACAGCCTCGGGCACACGTCCTAGGATCATCAAAAGTGACCTACATGGAAAGTCTTGGCCCAGCAAGCAGAGTTCCTCTTTGTTCTGCCCACCCCCTTCGCCTCCATTCTCCTGCCTCAGTTTTTGGCCTCCTCATCCTTGCTTTCATTGAAAGGGAAAACTTGTATTACTCTTTTGCCTGGAAGATGAGTGATTTTCTAAAATCTGAAGAAGTAAGTTTGCTGGGAATAAGCCCACCACTGCACATACTCCTGGTTGAAAGTCACACTGGGGAAACATGGGCTGGGGGTTGGGGTGCGGGGTGGAGGGTGGGGGCACGGGAGCTGGCATTCTTCTCTTAGGAAGTAACTGGCCGTCAATCCACAAAATGAATGAGAGCCGTGTCCTTCCCCAATCGCCATAGGGAAGAACTCTTCTGGCCTCCCTGCCACAGCGTATCCATGGTGACTGCTGTAGTCCGCTGCCTTGGTGCTGCCCCCAGCTCATGGCAACTGCACACCCGGTGAAACCAATCACAGCTCGGTCCTGCGCCCCCCCACCCACCCCATGGCTGCAGAATGTTTCCATCTATGGGTTTTGTTGCCCGATTTATCGCCAGGCCTTTCTTGCTAGTCCACCTTCGTCTGGGAGCTCTGCTGAGACCTGCTGAGCATCGCAGAAACACGCACACCTCAGTGCTAGGCCGAGGGGCACTGGCTGGGAGTCTCCCCTGAGGTCTCCTACACGGAAGGGGAGAATCCCAGGACGGATGCATGTCGGAATCGCCAGGGATCATGATCCCTTTCCCGCCCCAGTCCCTGGAAAGGGAAGGTATTTCACAAAGAGAGGCTGGAGGATTTCCCCAAAGTCATGTCAAGCGACTAAAGATGGCACTGGCTTGTTCTCGAGGTGTGATCTGACAAAAGCAAGCCAACAAGCTCATTGCTGCCCAGTCTCGTCTAACTCAGAGCAGCCCTATGTAGAATGTCCGCACCGTAACTCTTGACAGGAGCAGACAGCCACGGTTTTCTCCTGCAGAGCGGCTGGTGGGCTTAAACCACCAACCTTGAGGTTAGCAGCCCAGTGCCTAGCCCTCAGCGCCACCAGTTATGGATGATCTGAGAAACACCGGCAAACTCTCTCTTGATGACTTGTCAAAGTCTCCCTAAAGCCTGGTTCTAAAAATCAGGCGGCTTCACCGTGAAAACAAAGCGGTGCTAACTGCTGTGTACCAATCCAGCCACAGGGGATCAAAAATCCAGGGTAGGAAGCTGAAGATGAAAGAGGGATTTGCATCATCTCCAAGTACCTTGCCCTCAAAGCTCTATCAGTTACAGAGAGGAAAAGAGTGACTTTAAGGTCACTCCCTTAACCGAGGCGTCAAGGCCAATGTGACCAGTGAGAAGCCGCGGCGGCACCACACACGCCCTGGTTGGCTGTACTAAGAGCAGGTGGCAGTCTCATCTCACCCCAGGACGCCACGGGCAAACGCGAGGTGAGGACCGCTCCACACACTGTCTGGCTCTTGAGAAGCCTCACGAGCACGGATGACGAGGGAGTGCCTTAGACTAAACTTGGCACCTTGTGTCCAACTCTCCTGTAAGCCTGGAAGGATTTCAAAATAGGTTATACATAAGTCTAGCTATAGGGGCTAAACCCTGTTAGCCACGGGCCCTGGACAAGGTGGTGAGGACTCGGGGCCCAGAGGGGGGCTGAGCTGTGGCAGTGGCAGTGACACACCCTGCATCACCGGGGACAAGAGGGGAGCACGGCGCAAGGAGGAAAGGCCCGAGGTGGCGCATGAGTGGGGATGAAGGAGAGGTCAGGTGGTTGAGGAGCTGAGGTGTGGGTGGTGAAGGGAGGGTGCTGAAAAGTGGGGCCATGGGGAAGACATGATTTGCCAAGAGCAGGAAGCAGCCAGGCCTGGGCTCTTTGTTCGATGGCATAGACATAACTGTATTCTTGCGGCTAGTGGGTGATGGCGGGGCCCGGGAAAGGCACGTCTGAACCATGGGCTTCCCCCTTGCGTTTCCGGTGCCCCTCGGGAAGTCACGGCGGCCCGGAGCTGCTGCACTGTGGGGAGTCAATCCCAGTGGACACTCTGGGGTGTTTCTTCCTCAAAGGGAAAAATGTCGTTTGGCTTTCGGGGAAGTCACCCTGCATGTGCCTGAGCAGCGAGGGGTCCACAGGCAACACCGCCGGCGGGGCGGCCTGCCCTTTCCCGAGCCGTCTCAAGTTACCTGTGATTCTGTTGGAAATGCTGAAGAGCCTGGATGTCCTCTGTCGCTGCACAAAGGGTTCCCGGTAATATCGGTCCCCAAAGCACATGCCCAGGAGTTCCTTGCGAACCGTCTTGTTCCAGAGCCCATAGATGAGGGGGTGGCAGATGGCACTGGTGAAGGACAGCCACGTGGCCCAGGTCTCCAGGGTCGGGGAGACATAGTTCTTCCCCCAGAGGGCCTCAGAGGAGATGACAACCATGTAGGGACCCCAGGTGACCATGAAGGCGCCGATGACCACCAGGATGGTGATAAGGGCTTTGCACTGGTTGGCCGAGTACACCACGCCCTGAAAGGCATGCCGCCTGCTGCCCGAGGAGGAGGTGGAGGTGCTGGAGTTTTTCCTCCCGCTCCTCTGGGCGTCCTCCTCCACCATGACCACGGTCCCACAGTGCACCTTGCGCGCCTTGACCCTGGCCACGCGGAAGATGAAGCCATAGCACACCAGCATGACCAGGAAGGGGAAGAGTGCGCACCAGACCTGCCAGAAGGCCGTGTAGCCAGGCTCCCGGTGCCACGCAGCCACGCACATCCACTTGAACTCATCAAACTCCACCGATGACCAGCCGAACAAGGGGGGCAGACAGCCAACGAGGGAGTGCAGCCAGATGTAGACAAGGGCCATCACGGCACGGTTCCCCGTGATCTTCATGGGGTACAGCATTGGGTAGATGACAGCGTAGTAGCTAGGCAGAGGAGGGGAGAGAGAGGAGAGTCAAACGGGGAAAGGAGAGCCCACCAGGGACAGGCCCCACCGCTTCCCCGGCTGGAACCATGAAAGCAGCACCTTCTCCGGCTCCCCCGGCCTTCTTCACACACGTGCTTCTGCAGTCTTCATCGTTAGGGAGTTTACAGAGAACAGAGCACGCTCACACGACGGCTGCAGGCTAAGGGATCAGACATCCAGCCCGGTCAGATCTGCTGTTGCTGCCCTGATTCTGTTTAGCGCAGTTTTCAGGGGGGGGTCAGTAAGTACTAGGATAATGTCCAGAGACAGTGGGACTTCATTCTGTCGATGAACATTTGTGCCAGACACAGTACTATGGATGGAAAGGGCCGGGGAGGAAATGTGGGGGAAGACAGAGACATAAGCAGAGTATGAGTCTGGAGTCCTAAGGGCTACATTTAATCCGCACAACTTTGAAAGGGGAGGGAACTCCTATCAGCATCACAAGTGAGTGCACTTAAAGATCAGAAAGGCTACGTAACCTGCCCCACCCCAGATGCATGGGGAAAAACCAAGCATAAACCGAGGTAAGCTGACTCTACTCTCCCCTGGTGATTCCTGGCCAACCATCTTGTTCTAGAGCCCGTGCATAAGGTGGTAGCTCTGATCCACTCGGCAGAACGCTGAAGGAGGTAGACCTGGAGTGCTCCTGATCCAAACGGGCAGGAACCCTGATCCAGACTAGAACCCCAGGGCCGCCTTCCAGCAGGAGAGACCACAGATCAGGGCCGACGCTGGTGAGCCACGGGGCTAGTGGCATGCACGCACCTTAAGGAGGCCAGGGTGTGAAGAACAGGGACTCGCTGGGTGGCATAAGTGGTCAACATGCTCAGCTGTTAAACCAATAGGCTGGAAATTCAAGTCTGCCTCACGGCACCTCAGGAGAGCCAGGGTTCAGCAGCCACCCCATGGGGCACAGGGCCACTCCTCCACACACTCGGCATCGGCAGAAAGTTGGAACTGACTGGGTGTCGGGTTTAGTGGAATGTAGGGTGGAGCAGAGAGGTGCCGAAGAGATGGGCAAGGCCCAGCTATGCAGAGCCTTACAGGCGGCTAAGAACTGACGTTTTAGACTCTGTGGCCAAGACAAAACTCACCTGCCCTGCACAGCCATTTTATCCCTGGGAAGTGCTGTTGAAAAGAACAGGCTAGTCCCACGAGGGCAATGTGTGAAAGGAAGGGGTGGCTGCACTGACGTGGCCTGGTACAGGCAGGGCGTTATGAAACAGCTAAGGCCGGGGGCCCTGTGGTGCAGCACTCGGCTGCTAACAAAGGTTGGAGATTCGAACCTACCAGTCGGTCTGCAGAAGAAAGATGTGCCCCTCATACTTCACTTGAGTAGCCACCCCTCCTACTTCCCTGAGTCACTCTCGGGCACCAGCAGCTCAGGGATAAGGCCAGCAGCCTGACTGGACAGTCTCAGGGAGGGTCTCCCTCCTCAGCCTGTACCCTTTGTTAAGGCTCTTACCAGTCGGGAGTGAGATTAGGGCTTCTCAAATCTATGGCTCGACTAGATCCAGAACAAAACGCCTGAGTCAGCCCAGCTCGCTCAGGGTGAGCAGGTGAACTCACCTACTGCAGTCTCCCCCTGAAGGCACTGGGGCTTCTCCACCTGGCTAACCAGCCCGTCACTCCGGCCCTCTCCATCGATCAAAATACAATTGTCAGAACCCCAGAGGGGAATAAAAACAGGCAAAATGGTGTCAACAGCCCGGGAGCTCTGGCAGCTGACTCAAACCTTGAATAGCGAGATCGGTGATGGCCCTTTTCCATATGGCTGGTTTAGGACACTGAAATTTAAACGGCGAACCCAACGCTGAATAGCTATTCTTTTTTATTAGATTTGAGTCTTTGGTGAGAATTTACACAGCAAGATAGGTTCCCATTTGAGCATTTCCACACAGATTCGGGGCCTCCGCTGCATTTATCACCAGTGTCAACACTTGTTCACTGGACGCGCTCAGCCCAGTCCCAGCAGTCCAGTCATGTCCCTGTCCCCCGACCTCATCTTTGCTTAGATTAAATGCTGGCCCTCTCGCCTCACACAGATGGGTTTTCAGTGGAGCGCCAACCTCCTCGGGAATATCCTGCATTTTGTGTGCTACAAGGGGTCGCAGAGGACATGCATGCCCAGCTCCAGGTTTAAAGTGTGTTTCTGAGTCTTAGGACTCGGGAGTCCTCTGCTCGCCACTGTTTCAGGTTCGTTTGTCTGGCTTTTAACTTTTGGGGAAAAAATAAATAAGAATTTGAATTCTGCTCTACATTTTTTCCCCATTCTATTCTTACTCATCTATGGTAACCCCAATCAGAAACGAGACTGGTAGGAGCCAGGCACCATGTAGTCTTCTGTCTCAGGATGGATGAGGTTGGGGTTCACAGACTTCTTCTCTGAGCATCTCGTTACCTTCTTATTCTTTTGCTCCTGGCAAGTAAAGACCAATCAGTTCATCGCCATAGAGTCGCTTTGCAATCACAGTGGCCCCGCCCCGTTAGACAGAGCAGAGCTGCCCTGGGGGCTGCTGAGGCTGTAAATCTGTACGTGAACGACAGCCTCATCTTTCTCACATCGTCTGAACTACTGTCCTTGTGGTTAGCAGCCAAACGCCTACTCCATTGGGCCACCGGGGATCCTCAGACACCCGTAGTGGTGTCTTAAATGGCCACGTGTTAGCTTTTAAGACCCTAGCTACCATTCACGTCACTAGGATACAAATGTTATTTTTGTGAAATGTTATACCAACTGACTGAGTTTTCAAACCCCAGTGGTATTTATCTTTCTGTCTTATTGCTGTGGCTAGGACTTTCAGCACATTTCGAATGAGTGCTGATAATGGGAATCCTTGTCTTATTTCCATTCTCAAAGGGAAGGTTCTCAGTCTTTCTCTACTGAGTATAATGTTGGCTGGTGGTTTTCCATAGATGCCATTAATTATGTGGATAAAGTTTCTCTTCGATTTCTATTTTTACTGACAGTGTGTTAACTTTTATTGAATGTCTTTCTGAAGCAATCAATATGATCACCGGGTCTTCTCTTTTTGCTATGGGTGGATCACAATGGTGATTTTCTACTGCTGAGTTACCCTTGTAACCCTACTACAAAACTCATTTGATTGCGGGGTGGTGGTGGTGGTGGTGGTGGTGGTGTGTGTGTGTGTGTGTGTAATGTTGCTAACGTCTGTTGGCAAAAATGCTGTTTGGTCCGTGTTCACAGGGATATTGACCTATACTGCTCTCTTGTTCGCGATGCCACAGCCTGTATTCAGTACAGAGCTATGCTGACCTCCTAAAATGCGCTTGTTAGCATTCCTTCCTCACCTGTGTTTTGAAGAAACGGAGTTTCGATGGCACCTGCGATCTCTCCGGTTGTAATGGATCTGCTTGGATTTTTACTTCTGTTACGTATTTATCTGAGGGGAAATGTACGTCTAAGAATTTGTCCACTTCATCTGGGTTTTCAAATTTGTGAGAGCACAATTTTCCATGGTCATCAGCTGCGATCTTCATCTCCATTTTGATAGGTTATAATGTCACCGCGTCCACCCCTTGGCTTGGGTCCACCCCTTGGCTTGGGTCCACCCCTTGGCTTGGGTCTTCGCCTCTTCTGCGTGTGCTTCTTCAGTCGATCAAGTCAGTGATTTCTCTGTTTTATTTTAAAGAACCCATTTCTGGTTTTTTTTAATCCTTTGTTTTGTTTTTCTATTTCTATTTCTTTCTGCTTGGATCATCATTATTTCTTTTGTACTGGTAGATTTTAGTTGTTGCTTCTTTTCTATTTTTTCCTGTTGTCAGTTTTAAGGTTATGATTTTTAGATCTTTTTCAGTGTAGGCTTTACTATGAATTTCCCCGAATACTGGTTTTTCTGCGCCCCATATGTTCTGTCTTCATGTTTGCTTGACTCTAGAAATAGTTCTGTGTTAGGCTGCGTTCTTTAGAGACGCAAAATAGATGACACTTGGGTACGTACATAAGGAAGTGTGTTGTTGGGTGCCATCGCGTCGGCTCCGACCCATAGAACCCTCGTGCACAGCAGAATGAAGCGCTGCAGACCCGCGCCACCCTTGCCCTTGTTCCTGTTCCTGGGCCAGTGTGCAGCCACTGTGCCAACCCCTCTCTTTGAGGGTCTTCTCTTTACAGCTGCCTCTCCAGTTTATGAAACATGATGTCCTTCTCCAGGGACTGGTCTCTCCTGACAGTATGTCCAAAGCATGTAAGACAGAGTCCTGCCATCTTGCCTCGAAGGAGCGCTCTGACTGTACTTCTTCCAAGACCGCTTGGTTCATCCTTTCAGCAGGGCTTGGTTCTTTCCGTGTTCTTCTCCAGCACCACAATTCTAATGCAACAATTGTTCTAAAGTAGACATCAGGAAAAATGACTCACAGTTATCGAGGTGGTTAAGTCAAATCTGGCTCAAGTTCATGTGTCAAACGTTAAGCCGGGGGCGGAGGAGGGGGGTGCTTTTTCTGATCCGCCTAGATGCCGGGGCTCAGGAACCAGGGACGATGAACCAGGAAGCAGGCTGATGGAGGCCGAAAGAATCCAAGGTTGGCAGGCCACTGACAACTCCCAGGGTCAGCAGACAAAGTGGCAGGCCTCCAGGCCACATTCCAATCAGCTCGATACAGAATCCAGGCCAGCAAAAGAAGGGAAGGGAGTCTCCACAGTATTAATTGATATAGGTGACATTGGCCACACCCACAAAGAAATATCATCAGGCTGTGTCCTAAGTAAGGGGCTGCACTCCACTCCTATCTTCCCCCAACTGCTCGGCTGCTCACAGCAGTTTCACCGTGGCGTTGTTCCATGCGCGCGGTCACATCATGGGTCTCAACCGCCAGGCTACGGAGAATCCTGGCCCAGCCAACTTGACCCAGAACTGAAAGATGGCAATTTCCACCTCACTGGTGATGTTTTCCTGTGATTCCACCCTCATTTTGAAGTCCTCATAGGAGAAAGGGCTT